CCCCCCAGCCAACGCCGTCTGCCCGGGGGGCGCGGGAGGGACCCCCAGCCCGTGTGCCCCACACTCAGCTGGCAGGGAGAGAGCCAAGGGACAGGGCCACGGGCGAGGGACAGGCAGGGCCATTGCAGGGCCACGGTGAGGGCACAGCCTGTGGCAGCAGAGCTGCCCAGGGCCGGGGGCAGCCGGGGGTGTTGGTAGCAGCCAGTGCTGGGGCTGAGCAGAGCACGAGGCCTCTTGCAGACCCCTGGAGCAGCCTCCCACTTGCCAGCCCCACCTTGGTGGGGTGACACTGTCCCCTCCCTACAGGACACTGCCCCCGAAATCTTCGTGGGGTCCTTTTGTGTCTATTCCTGGTTGCTGATTGATGCTGGGGACCTGAGGGAGCCTCTGCAATCCCATCCATGGGGCACAATCTCCTCTCCAGAGCTTGACTCACTGCAGCCTTTGCAGGGAAATCTGTGCTGGCAGCCCCAGTATGTCACAACCCCCTGCACTCTCCCCAGGATATGTGGGAGGAGTTCCCCCTTCCCGGGCACCCACGGGATGGGGGGGGTGATTGTTCTCCTGCTATTGCTGTTCCTGCTTCACCCTTGGGGGCTCTTGGGGGTGGGCAGGAGGTGTTTTTGGGGGTGCTGGGCTGGGTTGGGAGCAGAGCCCTGGCAGTGGGTGGGGGGATGCGGGTCCCCCCCACGGTGGGGGTTGGTGTTGCTGGGTCAGGCCCCGCCGGCTCCATTGTCAGCCCGGTGCCGGCGGGGGGGACACAGCGGGTTTGGGGCCCCCCAGGAGTGCCGGGGGTGGGTGTGGAGCCTGGGAGCTGCCGAGTGTGGAGGGTGGAGCGGGGCGATGCCGGAGCTGGGGGACCCCCGGCAGCCTGGAGGGGGGAGCACGGAGAGGGAGGAGCCCTGGGACCCCTGGGAGCCTCAAATGGGGGGGCACAGAGAAGGGGAAGCCTGGACAGTGGGGACCCCTGGGATCCCCAGGACAATAAAGTGGAGAACCTGGAGGCGGAGAATTTCTTGGAACACGGCACCCTGAAGGTGAGAGTCAGAGGAGAAGGGAATCTTGGGACCCCCAACACTCCCAGCATCCCTAAGTGGGACCCCCAGCATCCCAGACAGGGGAGACCCTCTGAACCCCAGAGGGGAGAGACTAGAGAGGGGGAACTCCTGGGAGAGATTTTTTTGGCTGCTTTTTTTTTGGAGTATATTTTTTAGCTGAATCTCACTTTTTTGCAAGTTGGGAGGGTGAGGGTCTTCTTGCTCTTTCTAAGGGAGTTTTTGCCTGAATCTTGGTGGTTTGGGTTTTTCTGGGCTGAATCTTGGTGTTTTGGAGGTTTTTATGATGCCCGGTGAGTTCTAGAGATGGACTTGGGCAGGAGGAACCCCCAAGCCAACGCGCTCAGCCCTTGTTTTCTCCCCATCAGGATTTGTCCTTCCCAAAGCTTGTGCGGATGGAGGAGGAGGCTGCGAGGAAGAGGAAGATGCCTTGGGCCCCCCAGGCAGGTGAGGAGGAAGTCAGTGTCCCTTTGGGCGGGTGTTGTGCTGGCTCTGGCAGCCCAGCGTGGCCCCGGCTGCAGGACAACCCTGCTGCCGCCGCCGTCCTGCCGGGGCCGGAGTTGGGGGGATGTCCTTGGCCTTCCCTGTGGGCCGGAGGCAAATCCCCTCCCTGTCCTTCTTGCTTCCTGCCCCAGGCCCCGAGCTGAGGACGGAGAGCCCGGAGGACAAATCCCCCCGTGAGACCCTGGTGGGAGAGGCCGTTTTGAAGGGCTCCACAGTGCAGGAAGGCAGCGGGGAGGAAAAGGTCCGGAGATCCCCCCACAGGAGGGGCTCCAAAGGCAGCCCAGGGTGCTCTGAGGAGGAAAGACCCAGGCTGGGCCGGGAAGGCGGCTGGAGCTTGAGGCAGAGCTCTGAGCTGGTGGTCCCTGAGAAGCCTCCCAGCAGGGAGAAGCCCTTCAGGTGCTTGGAGTGTGAGAAAAGCTTCAGCCGGAGCTCCCACCTGCTCCAACACCAGCACATCCACACTGGGGAACGTCCCTACACGTGTGGGGAATGTGGGAAGAGCTTCAGGAGCAACTCCAACCTGATCGAACACCAGCGCACCCACACTGGGGAATGGCCCTACACGTGTGGGGAATGTGGGAAGAGCTTCAGTTACAGCTCCCACCTCCTCAAGCACCAGCGCATGCACACTGGGGAACGTCCGTACACGTGTGGGGAATGTGGGAAGAGCTTCAGATGGAGCTTCGGATTCCGCACCCACCAGCGCATCCACACGAGGGAGAGGCCCTACAAGTGTGGAGAATGTAGGAAGAGCTTCAGGACCAGCTCCGACCTCCTCAAACACCAGCTCATCCACACTGGGGAACGGCCCTACAAGTGTATGAAATGTGGGAAGAGGTTTCAGACCAGCTCCAATCTCCTCAGGCATGAGTGGACGCACACGGATGAGAGGCCCTTCCGCTGCACCGACTGCGGGAAGGGCTTCAAGCACAACTCTCACCTCGTCACCCACCGGCGCATCCACACTGGGGAGAGGCCCTACAAGTGTGGGGAGTGTGGGAAGAGCTTCACCAAGAGCTCTGGCTTGACCAGACACCAACAGACCCACCAGTAAGAGAAGCCCTGCGAATGCTCTGACTGTGTGTGGAGATTCCTGCCTTGGCTGGGGACCCCCCAAGGTCACTGCTGGAGGTTGAGAGCAGAGATCTCCCCCCGAGCGTTGGTCTGGGGGAGTTCCATCCATCTACTTATTAATTATTGCTTTTGTTTCAGCTTTAGTAGAATTGCTTCAACAATTACTTTAATGTAGAGCACTGTCCTATCTTATCTTGTACTTCTGGTAGTTTTAGTGTTTCTATTGTGCAGTAAATAGTTCTGATGAAGCTCTTTTGACTGATCATTTGTATCTCTAAATAATTCATTTCTATCAGTAGATCTGATTTGCCATCATTAAAACCTGGGGGACAAAAGTGTTTCAGTCACACCTCTGTAATTCCTCTCAACTGAAACTGTTGGCATGATCCAAGGCTGAGGTTGGATCCAGCAGTTCCCAGCACCCCACAGTAATTTGGGAGCTCAGGGGAACAGCCCCTTAACCAAAACCTGGTGCCCAAAGACCCCCATGGGACTGTCAGACCCACCAGACCACCTCCCCTTTTCCACCCTTCTCCCTCTTCCTCCCACTTTTCCATGGTCCTCTCAATCCCCAGCCCCCCCCCAGGATCACTCTGAGGTCTCAACCCCTACTTTTTTCCCGTTCTCCCACCCCTTCCACATCATCCTCCCACTCCCCAGCCCCCTCATGCTCAGTTTGGGGGTCCCACCCTCCCCTTTCCCCACTCTTCTGACCTCTCCCACCCATTTCCCATCACCCCCCAAACCTCAGATCCCTCCCCCCCCACTCCCCTCCCACTCAGTTTGGGGTCCCACCACCCCTTTATCCCCTCTGACCCCCCTTTTCCCACCGACCTCCCCCTTCCCACCCCCCACTCACCCGAGAGCTCCTCGCCCGCAGCCGGGGGGGCTCCCAGCACCACCAGTGCCCAGAGAAGTCCCCCCAGAAAAGGGGTTGGGTGGGGTCCTGGGTGGGCTCTGAGTGTGTTTGGGGGTCCTTGAGGGGCTGTGGGAAGGTTTTCGGGAAGTTCCCGGCGCCTGTTGGGGTGAGCTGGGTGCTTTATTGAGGGGCAGGTGCCCTCCCAAAGCCCCCCCAGAGTGGGTTGACACAGGTGGGACACTGTGGGGTCCCCATTCCCGATCCATTCCAGGGCCGGTTCTGCTCCCCCCAAACTCGGCTCCACCCCGTGGGATTCCCCCAAGCCCCTCCCCCAGTGCCCCCCAATAACCGGGACTGGGGAGAACTGGGAAGCTTTCCTGGGATCACTGGGAGCAGCCGGGCAGAGGCAGAGTGACAGCAGGGGAGGGGGGGGGACACACGACCCCCCCAAAATCCTCGCAGGGACGGGGGGGTCCAGGCTGGGCCCGAGGCCCCGGGGAGGGGCTGCGGCCGCCGGCGGCTCAGGAGCTCTGTGGGGATGTGAGAAAAATCTCATTTATTGAATTTAGAAAGACGGCAAAAGTTTGCAAAACAAAAGGAATAAAACGAAAAGGAAAAATTACAACACGTGTTGGGTGTCCTAGGCACGCAGGATTCCCAGGAACACACCCTTCAATTCAAAAGTCCCGCTTTTTAAACATTCTTAAGGTTCAACCCCGTTTACGTCATAGAAGAGGCGTTCCCCTCTTTCTGGTTGGCTGTGTCGTGCTGGGAGGTGGAGTGTCCAGCAGCATGGCAGCTTCCAGGACCAGCCATGTGGTATAAGGGGTTTCCTTACCAATATTCATTTACAGTTCCCTATTCCCGTTCACATGTTTCCCTGACACCGGTTCCAGGCTGAATCCGGCGTCTTACAGCTCCGCGATACGCCCTATAGGTTAGTAAAGAAAAACTCTTATGTTAGTGATTTGCTAAATTCATTTGCTTGTAATAAAACCGATTCTTTATTTCCCACAGGGAGAGAAAAGGGGGTGACACCGGGGTGGGGGGTCCCCGGGGGGGCACAGACGCTCTGGGGGGGACACACGACCCCCTGGGACCCCCCTCACCTTCCGGCGCAGGTAGAAGCCGAGCCCCAGCGCCAGGGAGACGAAGGCCAAGAGGAAGCCTCCTGCCCCTCCTCATGAGCAATTCCTGAGGCTGATGGAGCCCAGCAGGGCCGGGGCCGCCGGCGGTGTCTGATCCCGGCAGGAAGCGGGGAGGGCCCCGGGGAGCGGCGGCGGCGGGCGGGGCCCTGGGGGAGCCGCCCCGAGGGGTCCCCGCCGCCCGTGGCACTGAAGGAGCCGCCCCGGGACGGGCCCTGGCGGGGGTCGCCAGAGGGGGGGGGGGCGAGCTCTGAACAGAATCAACTCCGGAGAATAAACCAAGGAAAACCAAAGAGCCGCGCCGGGGGAGTCTCCGCCGCCCCGGAGCTAAAAGAGCTGCCCCGCGGGACGAGCGAGGAGTGGCGGCGGTGAAACAGTCGCCCGGGGTGTGGCAAGGGATGCGGGAATGGGATAAAAGAGAGAGAATAGAGAGAGAAATTGCTTTATCTTTCTCCCAACCCACCCCAGCTCCCTTTTGAATACAGATAAAAACAGGGATCAACACGTGCTTCCCTTTCCCCTCAGGGGAACTAAAAACAAAAAAGAAAACCTTGAGAAAGAAGGGGAAAGCCAACTCTGGAAAACTTTCTCCTCTGAGATTAGTTGTGCTGCCAAAGGAAACGCTGACTCCAGAGGTGCCCAAGCGACGGCAGAGCCCCCACCCTGCACACTCACACACTTCAGCTCAACATTGGGGTTTTCCCCTCCCTGGCACTGCCCAGTCCAGCCCCTCCCTGGTCCCCCCATCTCCCTGCCCCTGCCCCAGCCCAGCAGAGCAGCCCAGTCAGGTCTGGCCCTGCAGCAGGACATGGAGGCCATGGAGCTCAGGGACAGGCCCTCTGTGTCTGCAATGCTCAGCACATCATCAGCTCAGGCAGCTCCTGCAGCCCCAGGGCCAGCCCCGCTCCCCAGCACAGCAGCAGAGAATCGGCCCCGGGCTCCTCAGGCCCCATTTGCCATCTCCAGGGGCACTGGCCACCACCAGCACCAGCTGGAGCAGCCTCAGCCCCTCAGCCCCCACAGTGGGACCCTGAGGACAGCACATGGACTCCAGGGAGAAACCAGCAAGGCAAGGACCCTCTGGAGAGTCTGGTCCTTGGCCTTGTTCTTGAGAGCCCTTGAGAAGAAGAGCTGAGGCTTCAGGCTGTGCCCGGAGCAAATGGAGCCCCTTGTGTGGTGGAAAGAGTGCAGTGGAGCCCAGCTCATCCCAGCAGTGCCATGGCCACAGGACTGACCCAGCCCAGCCCAGGGACCAAGGGCCAGAGCACTGAGGCCTCAGCCCAGGCCCAGAAGGGGAGGGTGGCAGGAGAAAAAGAGCAGCTCTCAACAGGCCAAATGCTGCTGCTCCCTGGCACTGCTGCTGTGCTGGGACTCTGTTTCCCTGCCCCTCTGCACACAGACACTGCCCTGCCAGGCTCATCAGAGGTCTCAGAAGACTGAACTCACAAAAACAAGTCACTGAAGGATCCTTGACTTTGTTTCAATGCATTTCTCATTTACACAGACTCTGGGTCAAATTCAAGATGTAGACAGTGAACCAGACATGGGATGAATAATCAATATTCACTGTACACAACTTTATCCCAGGAGAAAAACCACAGGAAAACCCTGACTCAGCACCACAAAAACCTGAGCAGGCAGGCTGGAACAAGGAGTCCCATTCTGAATGCTATGGAAGAGAAAAAAAGCTGTTTGTGCCTTCTGAAAAGCATCCAGTCATCATTTTCCTCAGGGCATCCTTGAAACAAAAGATTTCTTAAGACAGATGCCAGAGCTTGGCAGCAGGCTGTCCTTCTGAGCTTGGAAAATCTCTGCTAACTTACCTAACAATGGTACAACCCCCCCACATTAATGTTGCCAAACAGCTGCATCTGCAGTGTTCATGTTCCAGCATTACCTAATGCACAATTATCACACCTCTTTTTAAAGTTAAAGGGGAGGAAAAAAAAAGTGGGGGGTGGGGGAGACTCCTCACCCCAGTCATCCACCAAGTGTACATCCTGGCCACTGCTCCCAAGAAATTTAATATATGCTAAAAAGATATAAAAAGACATCAAAAGCTTTCAAAAATAAAAGTGCTTCGGAAGCTAGATTTTAATATTGCCAAGAGGGTTTTTGCCAGATTATAAAGTTGACTGAAATGCCAGGATACTGCATTTTGGAAGCAGCAGCAGCTCACATATTGCCTTGTATTAGTGGCTGAAGTGTGTTGCTGATTCCAAAGCTGGACTATCATCATCTGTGGGGGAGAGCAGATAAATAAATAAATAAAAATTGGCATTCCCTACCACCCCTGCTGCCTTGAAGCACTCTTTTCAAGTGTGGCCTCCACAGGAAAAAAAATTAAGAGCACTTTATTTTGATTATAGTGCTTTCCCCAGGCAGGAATTTTTATTTCAGTTAGAATCTTTGAACCATTACATTTTCAGTGAGGCATTTTTCTATTTACAGTTGACATCTTCATAGAAGAATGAAACCTTTGAGCAACAGCTCTAAAGCATGAAGGTTGCCTGCAGTAAATACTTAAATTATTTTACATCCAAATGGAACCTGTTGTTTTTAGCTAAAATTTAATAAACCTTAAATCAATGACCTTTCTTTTACTGAAAGCCTGCCCTTTGGAAAACTAACTTTCCCAAGAAACATATTTGGGTGAATAAATGCCAAACAAATGGCTATTTAAATCTAAACATTTTCTCCATTTATAGCTTGTGAACATTTAGTTCCTAAATTCCTGACTGCTACTTAATGTACAGAACAGTGGTGCCTTGGTTGAATCACATATCATTGATTTCAGAGTGTCACAGGGATCTCATTGACAGGAATCAATTAGAATCCAATATCAATCAAATATGTTTGTGCACTATCATTGAGCGAATTTGAATATCCAAAAATAATTGTAAGCATGTGAAAGAACCTAGAAATAAATTTTGAAAAGATACAGAAATAAAAATCAGTAAACTTTGAGAAGATAAT